GTATTAATAAAGAAAAAGAATCAATGAAATAAACTTTTATATTTTTACATCAAATATTCTGTGAATTTGGGAAGTGATTACTCAGCTTTCTAGTTTGTTTAGAGCACCTAGCTTGGTTTTCAGTTGTTCTTGTTTTGTTATAAGACAGCAGGTAGGAAAAGGGCCAAGCAAAGAGGGAAGAGCCCCTTATAAAATCATCAGATTTCATGAGAACTCACTATTATGAGAACAGCATGGGGGAAAACACCCTATGATTCAATTACCTCCACCTGGTCTCTCCCTTGACATGTGGGGATTATGGGGATTACAATTCAAGATGAGATTTTGGTGGGGACACAACGCCTAACCAAATCAGTATCTCTTCATACTTTTCATTAAATTTCTCTGATGATTAATAATGCTGAGAATTTTTAATGTTTGTTGGTTGGTTGTATATCTTCTTTTGAGAAGTGTCTGTTCATGTCATTTGCCCATTTTTAATGGGGTTTTCCTTGTGACTTTGTTTAAGTTCCTTACAGATTATGATATTAAGCCTTTGTCAGATGCATAATTTGCAAATATCTTCTCCCATTCTATACACTGTCTGTTTAACCTGTCGAGTTTCTTTTGCTATGCAGAAGTTGTTTAGTTTAATTAGGCTCCACTTGTCTACTTCTGTTTTTGTTGCAATTGTTTTTGGGGACTTAGCCAAAATATTTTTGACAAAGTTGATGTCAAGAAGAGTATTTCCTAGATCATCTTCTAGAAGTGTCATAGTTTGAGGTCTTACATTTAAGTCTTTCATCCATTTTGAATTAATTTTTGCATATGGTAAAAAGAATGGGTTCAGCTTCAATCTTCTGCCTGTGGCTAGCCAGTTATTCCAGCACCATTGATGGAATAGAAAGTCTTTTCACTGTTTATTGTTTTTGTTGACCATATGAAAGATCAGATGGTTGTAATTGTGCAGATTTATTTCTCAGTTTTATATTGTATTCCATTGTGCTATATATCTGTTTTTGTACCAATACCATGCTATTTTGGTTACTGTATCTTTATAGTATACTGCAAAATCAGGTAGTATGATGCCTATTTTTTTGTTCTTTTTTGTTTAGGATTGCTTTAACCATTTGTGTTCTTTTGTAGTTCTATGAATTTTAGAATAATTGTGTCTAGTTCTGTGAAGAATTATATTAGTAGTTTGATAGAAATAGCATTGAATATACAGATCGTTTTCGGTAGTATGGACATTTTTAAAAAATTGATGCTTCCAACACATAAGCATGGAATATTTTTTCATTAAGTTGTGTAATCTCTGATTTCTTTCTGCAGTGTTTGGTAGTTCACTTTGTCAAGCTCTTTCACTTCTGTTTTAATCTGTGTTCCTAGTTACTTCATTTTTTTTTGTGTGTGGCTACTGTAATTTGGCTTTTTTTTCTTTATTTCATTCTCAGCCTGGTTGTTGGTGATGTGTAGAAATGCTCGTAGTTTTTGTGCATTGATTTTGTATCCTGAAACTTTATTAGAAGTGTTTGCTAGTTCTGTAAGCCTTTTGGCAGAGTCTTTAGGATTTTTTAGTCATAAAACCATATTGTCAGCAAAGAGAGATAGTTGATTTCTTATTTTCCTACTTGGATGTCTTTTATTTGTTTCTCTTGCTTGATTGCTCTGACTAGGACTTCCAGTACTGTGTTGAATAGGACCACTGAGAGTGAAAATTCTTGTCTTGTTCCAGTTCTCAAGAGTAATGGTTCCAACTTTTGCCTCTTTGGTATGATGTTGGCTGTGGGTTTGTCATAGATGGCTGATACTATTTTGAGGTATGATCCTTCAATGCCTAATTTGTTGAGGATTTTATCATGAAGGTATGTTAGATTTTATTGAAAGTTTTTTCTGTGTCTATTGAGATGATCATATTATTTTTGCTTTTAATTCTGTTTTTTGCGGTAAATTGCATTTATTAATTTTGATATGTTGGATCGAACATTTTCATATGTTGCATCCTTCATCCCTCAAATAAAGCCTATTTAATTATAGCATTTTATCTTTTTGTTGTGCTGTTGGATTTGGTTTGCTAATATTTTGTAGAGAATATTTGCCTGTCTGTTCATCAAAGATATTAGCTTAAAGTTTTTTGTTGTTGTTGTTGTTTTGTTTGTTTGTTTTATTTCATTGTTTCTCTGCCAGCTTTTAGTATCACGTTAATGCTGGCTTCATAAAATGAGTCAGGGAGGAGACCTCTCTTCTCATTTTTTGGAATAGTTTCAATAGAATTCGTATCCATTTTCTAGAGAGAAATTCATGCCTGCTGCCAAAATTTGCATATGTAAAAAAGAGCCAAATGTTAATCACCAAGTCAATGGGGAAAATGTCTTCAGGGCATAACACAGACCTTCATGGAAGTCCTTCCTGTCACAGGCCTAAGGGCCTAGGAGGAAAAAAATGGTTTTATGGGCTGGGCCAAGGACCTCCCCTGCTGTGTGCAGCCTTGGGACTTGGTGCCCTGCATTTAAGCCTCACTAGCTGTGGCTAAAAGAGGCAAAGATACAGCTTGGGCTATGGCTTCAGAAGGTGCAAACTTCATGCCTTGTTAGCTTTTACATGGTGTTGAGCCTGCATATGCAGAGAAGTCAAGAACTGAGGTTAGGAAACTTCTACCTAGATTTCAGAGGCTGTATAGAAAAGCCTAGATGTACAGGCAGAAGTTTGATGCAGAGGCAAGGCCTTCATCGAAAACTTCTGCTAGGGCAGTGTGGAAGGGAAATCTGAGATTGGAACCCCTACACAGAGTCCCCACTGGGACACTCCCCAGTGGAGCTGTGAGAAAAGGGCCACCATACTCCAAACCCCAGAATTCAAGATCCACCAACAGCTTGCACTGTTCACCTGGAAAAGCTGCAAACACCTAACACCAGCCCATTAAAACAGCTGTGAGGGGGCTGTACCCTGCAAAGTCACAGGGGTGGACCTGCCCAAGGCTGTAGGAGCTGACTTCTTGCACCAGCATGACCTAGATGGGAGACATGGAGTCAAAGGAGATCATTTTGGAGCTTTAAGGTTTAATGATTGTTCTATTGAATTTCAGATTTGGATGGGGCCTGTAGCCCCTTTGTTTTGAGCAATTTATCCCATTTGTAATGAGTGTATTTACCCAATTCCTGTACCCAAATTCTATGTAGAAGGTAACTAACTTGCTCTCAGTTTACAGGCTCATATGTGGAAGAGACTTGCCTTGTCTCATATCAGACTTTGGACTTGGACTTGTGGATTAATTCTGGAATGAGTAAAGACTTTGGGGACTGCTGGGAAGGCATGATTGTGTTTTGAAATATGAACACATGGGATGGGAGCAGGGGTGGAATGAGATGGTGTGGTTGTGTCCCCACCCAAATCTCATCTTGAATTATACTTCCCACAATCCCCACATGTGGGAGGAACCTGGTGGGATGTAATTGGATCATCCAAGCAGTTACCCCCATGCTGCTTTCTCATGATAATCAGTAAGTTCCCAGAAAAATCTCATGGCTTTATAAGAGGCTTCTGCTCCTCTGCTCCTCTCTTTCACTCATTCTTATCCTTCCTGACATCATGTGAGGAAGAACGTGTTTGCTTCCCATCTGTGATGATTGTAAGTTTTCTGAGGTCTTCCCAGACCTGAGGAACTGTAAATTAATTAAACCTTTTTCCTTTATAAATTCCCTAGTCTCTGGTATGTCCTTATAGCAGTACGAGAATGAACTAATACAATTATTCAACACTGTCAAGTGAAATTTACTCAACGTATGTAAGGCTGATTACCATTTGAAAACAATTAATGTAATCCATTGTATCAACAGGCCAAATAATGATATTGATTGATGCAGAAATAGCATTTGATAAATTTCAATACCATTTGTGCTAAAAATTTTCAGCAAATTAGAGTAGAAAGTAAATTTCTTAATTTGCTAAAAACTGCCTCTGCAAACCTACAGGTAGCATCATATTTAATGGTGAAAAATGGAATACTTTCCACCAAAGAGAAGAAATAATAGTAAGATACATTGTCTCATAATTTTTCTGCTACATTGCACTGAAAATCAAAACTAGTACAGTAAGACAAAAATAAAGAAAACTTATAGAAATTAGAAAACAAGACACTAAACTATCTTTGTTTAGAAAAAATCATGATTGTATATCAAGAGCATTCTAAAGAATTAATTTTAAAACTTGGACTTTGTTAATAGGTATAGCAAGTGTTCTAAATATTAAAAAAAGTAATAATACTTGTATCCTTTACCCACTTTTTAATGTTTTGTTGTTGTTGTTTTTAATTTGCTTAAGTTCCTTATAGATTCCGGATATTGGACCTTTGTTGAAAAGATTGGGGTTACATGTGCAGGTTTGTTACATGGTTGTATTGTAGGCAGGTGCAATTTATATGTACAACTTAGTGCAAACTACCCACTAGGTAATTTCTCAACTCACACCCTTCTCTCCTTCTTTCCCCTCTAGCAGTCCACAGTGTCTGTTGTTCCTATGTTTATGTCCATGTGTACTTAATGTTAGGCTTTTATTTATAAGTGAGAACACGTGATATTTGGTTTTATGTTCCTGCATTTCTTTGCTTATGATTGTGGCCTCCACTCCATCCATGTTGCTGCAAAAGAAATGATTTCATTCTTTTTTTGGCTGCATAGTATTTCATGGTGCATATATAGAGTTTTTATGCAACCCACCATTGCTGAGCACCTAAGTTGATTTTTTTGTCTTTGCTATTTTGTTTAGAATGGCACTGATGAACATAAACACAAAATTCCTCAATAAAATACTAGCAAAGTGAATCAAGCAGCACTTCCAAAAGCTTTTTTTATTAGATACATTCATTTATTTGACATATTGAATTAGACAAAGAAATATGTATGTAACCGGAGAAAAACAATCACATTCTCATACTACTTTAACACATAGCAATGGTTAAAAATAATGAATTGTAAAATGAACCCCAGGATTTAATGTAAAACCCACCCCATACAAGAAACATTTCAGGCTTCTAATTTCATTGAATCCAGTATTAAACGTGCTTCTTTATATTCCTCAGCTTCTTCCAAGTCTTTTTCATTTTCTAATATCTGTTGAAGATCCAAATATGCAGCTTCCAGCCTGCGCTGGCAATCTGGGATCATCATCTGGGATTCTTATAGGATCTCTACCTGCTTTTTAATGTCTCTAATTTTTTCAATCTTCTCTTCTTGTTGTTTTGCTTCTTTTTCATATATCACTTTTTCTTTGACTAACCGCTTCACCACGCCGGTCTTGATCTTGATCTGTCTCATGTGAGGATCAGCCATGGTCCTTCGAGCGCTGTGAGAAGGAGGGGCGGAGAACCGGGTGCTAAAGGCTAAGCATGATAAGAGAGGCTTTATTTCTTGGATGCAATGCTAGTTCAACAAATGTGAATCAGTAAACGTGATTCACCACATAAACATAATTAAAAGCAAAAACCATGCGATTATCTCAATAAATACAGAAAAAAACTTTCAATAAAATCCAACACCCCTTCATGGTAAAAACACTCAGTAGACTAGGTACTGAAGTAACATACCTCAAAATAACATGAGACATCTATGACAAATTCACTGCCAACATCATACTAAGTGCTCAAAAGCTGGAACCATTCCCCTTGAGAACCAGAACAAGATGAAGATGCCCACTCTCCCTATTTCTATTAAATACAGTACTAGAAGGCCTAGCCAGAACAACTGGGAAAGAGAAACAAATAAAAGGCAACCAAATATAAAGAGAGGAAGTCAAACCATCTGTCTTTGTGGATGATATTACTCTGTATCTAGAAATCCCTGAAGACTCCAAAAAAGCCTACCAGAAATTATAAATGCTTATAGAATTCAATGTACAAATTCAGTAGCACTTCTTTAAACAGTAATGGCCAGGGTGAGAGATAGACCAAGAAAGCAATCTATCTCATTTACAGTAGCCACAAAGAAAAGCAAGTAGAGCTAGCCAAGGAAGTAAAAGTTTCTACAAGGAGAACTACTAAACACTGCTGAAAGAAATCAAATAAAACAAAAATAAATTAAAAAATTCTATAGTCATTCTCTTCCATGCCTGTTAATGTTGATATTTTACCTCTTCCTAATATCATAAGTGTTCTTAATTATATCTAGAAAGGCAAATCATTTGTAGAAGATTTTCCATTTATTTTTGCCCAGATTCATCAGAGGAATTGCTATCTATGGCAGTTATGGCCTTACAAAACATATTTCTTAGCTAATAAGACTTGTAAGTCAAAATTACTCCTGGATCCATGGGCTGCAGGGTGGATGTTGTGTTAGCAGATGTAAAACCATTAATCATCAGAGCTCTCAATTTAACAACTACATTGTCAATAGGAAGTAAGAATTACGGTTTGGCCTGATTTCAATATTCTTGTGTCTTAGAGAATAGGGAGGTCCAAGGTAAGGGAGAGAGACAGGAAAACAACAGCTCAGTGAGGCAGTTGGAATACACATAACATTTATTAAATAAGTTCACATCTTATATGGGAGTGTATGGAGCCCCAAAATGACTAGAACAGTAACATTAATGATCACTGATCATAGATTACCATAATATATATAATAATTAATAATTTTGAAATACTACAAAAATTACCAAAATGTGACAAAGAGACATGAAGTGTGCACATGCTTTTGGAAAAATGACATTGACAGACTTGCTTAATGTAGGGTTGCCACAAGCCCTCTATTTATAAGAAATGGTATCTGCAAAGAGCAACAAAGCAATGCACAATAAAACCAGGTATGTTTGTAGAAAACAGTTATTTGTGATATCCACTGATATAAATAAATAATGAAATTAAGAAATTAAGAAGCTGTAAATCTCCATTGCAGAACAGTTCCAAATATTTATGTAAATACTTTCTCTTGAGGAGGTGGGCATAACTGCCACTTTGAGTAGTGTTTCTGTTTTAAAGATTTTAGCATGAAATGTGCTGAGTGAGGGAGTGAAGAGTAACTTTAAAGTGGAGAAATTTGACATATAGAACCTCAGCCAGGTGATCAATATTTCCATCAATAATACTGAGTCATATTGATCATAAAAACTTTTGATTTCATGTGATAAAATGATATTTTATTTCTGTGTTTTCTTTTCCAAAACCTACAATCCACATCTAATCCTTAGAGAAACATCAGACACACTCCAGTTGAGGGGCATCCTACAAAATGCTTGGCTAGTAGTCCTCAAACTTGTCAAAGTCTACAGAAACAACAAAAATTTGAGAAACTATCCCAACCAAGTGCTGCCAAAGGAGATATGATAACTAAATGTAATGTGGTATCCTGGAAGGGATCCTAGAATAGAAAAAGGAGGTTAACACAGACTTTAATTAATGATGATATAACAATGTTGGTTCATCAATTATGTCATTTGTACCATAATGTAAAATGTTAATGAAAGGAGAAACTGCATTCCAGGTTTATGGGGATGCTTAATATTATTTTTGCAATTTTTGTAAGTATAAAACTTTCATATTAAAGTTCTTTAAAATTGCATTAAAATATTTTGTTTGTATTATAAATAATATTTGATATGAGAAGGAGAATTTCTAAGTATAATAAAATGCATATATATGTATTTGGATCTTTTCATTTGTAGAGACATTATTATTACTTTTTAAGTTTTGATTGGAAATATATATGAAATCAGGCGATGAACACAAAATATTAACAGTGGTTATCTCTAGGTGGTTGAATTGTGGGGAAAGAAAGAAGCATTAAAAATTTCAAATTGCTTAAAATGAGCATAAATTATCTGCCCAACCAATAAATAACAAACACAAGTTTATTTCAAGAAAGAAGAACAACAATGCATCTATTAAAATCAGTTCATTCCTGGAAATTATTTTGTGTCTGCTAATAACATAGTAGTTCTTTAGGATAACTATACTTTTCTCCTTCCTTTAGCTTACCCAGTTTTATTGCTACACTCTATCTCTGGGAATAACCTTTGATTTTGCAGAATTTTCAATTACGTACTACCTCTGATAAAATCTCTGAAGATATATTTTCCCTGGGAGCTGTTTACAAAGTTTTCAACTCTTCCCAAGGCATGCAGATTTTCTCTTTCCTCCTGAGACCACTCATACAGATATGTACAAGGTTTTGCATTCATGCATACACACACACTCACATACACACATTTTTTTCTTTTGTCTGCTCTTCAACCAGTGCCAGAAAATTGTAGTGGTCTTTTAAAAATGATTCTGATATAGATGAATGAGAAGATATCCAGAATGAGAAGAGATAAGACAAGCATTCTAACAACTGACTGGCTAGCTGCAGATAGGTGAAAGGCTGAAAACCTGAAAGCTCTAAGTGAGGACCTGGCAGTCCCAAGTGTAGTAACTGCCAGGAGCAACACATCTTTGTGAAAAGCATTTTACTGGCAACAAACTCAATTTCAGTTACTGGATAAGTCAAATTTGCTGATTTATATATTTGTCTGTTTTCCTGACAGATATTATTTTTCATTGTTTTTCCATGTCATTTGACAAGCCCTTACTTTTCCATTGTATTTTAAAAATTATAAAAATATTTATTATCTGCTCTACTACAAATAATAAACCTTTAATCATCACATTATTTTAGAATCACATTTTATATTTTGAAACAATGAAAATTCTGATCATTCCCCCAAGGCATATTCAGTAAATGTCAATTTATCTAATTTAACATTTCAAAAGTAGGAAAATATTAACTTTATAAAAATAAATTCCATTTTAAATATTCAATATTTATTAACAATTATCCATGATGATCTGTAAGAAGTTTATTCTGTAAAAAGTCAGACTAAAACAGAGGAGAAAGACATTGGGAATTTACTGCATAATTATCATTCTTTTAGCTACCATGTACTGAGTGCTTACTGTGCACCAAGCACTGTCTTCAGTGCTTTATATAGTTTCATCATTTTATAAGCACCTTATAAAGTATTAATTTCCTTTCACAAGCAATGAAACAATGGAAGATAGTGGTTGCATAATTGGACTCAAATCACACAAAAAGCAAATAGAAGAACCAGGATTTGTATGTGGGCATTTTTTTAACCTACTTAATAGAGGTATGACTACAAAACGCTGTACATATTTAATATGTACAACTTGAAGGTTTTGGAGTTGAGTATACAACCATGAAACCATCACCACAATATTTCTATTAACATATCCATTACCTCAAAAAGTTTCCTCCTGCCCTCTTTATTTTTTTACTACTTTTTTTTTAATGATAAGAACCCTTAACGTAAGATCTATCCTCTTTGCAATTACTTATTTATTTATTGTATTTTATTCTGGGGTACACATGCAGATGGTGCAGGTTTGTTACATAGGTATACAAGTGCCATGGTGGTGGTTTGCTGTATCCATTGCCCTGTCATCTATATTAGATATTTCTCCTAATGCTATCCTTCCCAATCCCTCCACCCACCGCTATTCCTCCCCTAGTCCCCCATGCCCAGGCCCCAGTGTATGATGTTCCCCTCCCTGTGTCCATGTGTTCTCATTATTCAACACCCACTTATGAGTGAGAACATGTAGTGTTTAGTTTTCTGTTTTTGTGTCAGTTTGCTGAGAACGATGGTTTCCAGCTTCATTCATGTCCCTGCAAAGGACATGAACTCATCCTTTTTATGGCTGTGTAGTATTCCATGGTGTATGTATGCCACCTTTTCTTTATCCAGTCTATCATTGATGGGCATTTGGGTTGGTTTCAACTCTTTGCTATTGTGAACTGTGCCGCAGATTTTTAAGGGTACCATACAGTATTGTTAACTGTAGGCCCTGTGCTCTAGAGTATAAAACTTTATGCTCTTCAACTAATGCCTCCCCTCATTTTCCTTCTCCCCAGTCCCTAGTAATCACCATTCTACTCTTTGTTTCTAAGTGTTCGACTATGCTAGATTCCTCATATAAATGGGATCATGTAATATTTGTCCTTCTATGTCTGGCTTATTTAACTTAGCATAATTTCCTCCATGCTCATCCATTCATATGTGTTATAGCAGCTTGAGGTTCACAGCAAAATTACAAAATTGGGAGGACGTTACACAGGTGATCTATATTGCCTCTGTCCCCACAATACTTGACTTCTTCCAATATTAAATATTTCTTACCAGGGTAGTACATTTGTTACAATGGATTAAACTACATTGAGAAACCATCACTTAAAGCCTGTTATTTACATTCAAGTTCAGTCTTGGTGTTATATACCTATGGGCTTGAACAAATTCATAATAACATGTATTCACCATTATAGATTCATACAGAGTTGTT